CCCGCGGCTCGCATTCTTCTACCGCTGCTTTGCGCTTCGGTTTACGTCGACGCCCTTGGTACTTGTTCTTGCTTGCAAACTTTCGTGCTCGGAAGTCTCGCTTCTTCGAGTTATCCATGGTGAACTCGGAAAAACGTAGAAACGCACGGCAAGTGCCGATCGTCGCAAGCGCTCAGCGAGCGAGGCCGATCAGATGTAGCCAATGGCGGCCTCGGTAGCGTACCATGTGACCGGTAGAGATGCGCGAAGCGGCTGCAGCTTGGCTGCAAACCGACTTGGAAACGACTGTTTTGTGAAATTCCTCACTAAAATACGAAACTAGGGGGACGCCTGTACACTAGAAGGAGCCTTGATCTACACCACCGAACAAACCCCGATGGCGGACGTCATCGTGTTGCCGAGTGGCGGATTTTCAAAAATAGCCGTCGGATGCGTGAATTCGCGACTTCGGCAGCTACCTTCACTAGCGCAGATCGACTTTTTACCACTTTCTCGTTTGAATTCAGCTATGACCTTTGGGGAAATGATAGTTGAATGATCAAAAGTGATTTTAAAAGCAATATCTCAAAAGTGGAAATTTTCGCAAAAAACGCGATTTTTCGACCCGCATCTCCCCTTAAGAAGTTTGCAGGTATAAATTGGCAGCAGGAAGCACAGGACCGGGTTAACTGGCGGAACATGGGAGAGGCCTTCGTCCTTCAGTGGACGTAGTCAGGCTGATGATGATGATGATGAAGAAGCAGTAGTGTAAAACTTGTAATCAACGCTGCCCTGAGCCACTGAAAACCAATATAGTCGAGCCCGACTATATCGAACCCGTTTATATCAAATTATCCCGTATATCGAACAATTCCTAAACACGGTAAGTTTACATTGAGAATATATAGCAAAAGTTACTGTTTTATCGAACGAATATTGCAACAACTGATATATCAAACTCCATGTGCCTCAAAAGTGCCCCAGAAAGTTGGCTTTCCCTCGTGGTGGCAGAAAAAACTGCTGGCGCCACCCTAAAAAAGTTGGTTAGACCGGGTTGTGCACGGGCGAACACCCCCCTCCAAGAAATGATCTTGGCCCGCTCGCAGCGCTTACAGCCAATCAGAGGCCGTCACGCTTTCTCCGAGGCGCGGAGGCGGTATAAGTGAGCGCCATTGTTTCTTTCTTTATGCTTGTGTGCCTGCTGCTGCTGACTCAGCTTGGTCTGTGGTGTTGCCTGTTCGTGCTCTGTGAACTGTATTGGCGCGCTGTCATCATGGCTTGCGCAAAGAGGCAAAATTTGCCGTTCGCCGCGAATCTCGAAATCATCAATCGGGTTGAGCGCCATGAAAAGAAGTCCGATGTCGCCGCCGCGTACAAAATTCCAAGGAGCACCTTGAGTACTATCCTGAAGAACAAGGCAGACATCAGGGCCAAGTCGGACAAAAGGCCAGGTGCCCGTGGCGCCCGACGTGTGCGCGCTCCTGTGTACGAAGATGTTGAAGCGGCCGTTTACAAGTGGTTTGTGGACGTTCGGTTGCGAAACATCTTGGTGTCTGGCCCTATGAGCAAGCAGAAAGCCAAGGACCTTTCTTTTCTGCTTGGCACGAATGATTTCCAAGGCAGTTCAGGCTGGCTTCAGCGGTTCAAAGAACGACACGACATCATTGGCAAAGCTGCTACAGCTAAAAGCAGAGCGGCGGACCTCGACAGCGTAGAAAAATGGCTCGAGGAAAACTGGCGAGATATCGCAGCAAGATATAGAGCCCAAGATATCTTCAATGCAGATGCAACTGCTCTATTTTGGCAAATGTTGCCAAACAAGACACTTGCATGTCATGGCGACAAGACAAGCGGCGGCAAGGCAAAGAAAGCTCATGTGTGCGTGCTGTTGGCAGCTAATTTAGACGAATCGAAAAAGCTTCCACCTCTGGTTATCGGGAAAAGCACGGCACCGCGGCATTTTCGAAATGCGCTGTCGCTTCCAGTTACCTACCGAGCAAACTCAAAAGCGTGGATGACCGGGGAGCTTTTCAGCAGATGGCTATTGTCGTGGAATAATGATTTGGTAGGCGAAAATCGCAAGGTGTGCCTGCTCGTGGACAATTGTTCATCGCACCACTGCAGTACGACCTTCAGCAACATCAAGCTGCGTTTTTTGCCCCCGAATACTACGTCTGTACTGCAACCACTGGATCAAGGCGTTGCGCGCACAATGAAAGCCGGCTATCGGAAGCGCCTGGTGGAGATGCTGCTGCAGAACCTTCGTGTCGGCAGGGAGCTTAAGGTCGACTTGCTCGGAGCTATTTCTCTGTTGAGCAGATCGTGGGCAGATGTCAAGAAGGAGACGATCCAGAACTGCTTTAGGCATGCCGGCTTCCGCATGCCTGGTGAACACACCCTAAATTCTGATAGCACTGAAGACACCGCAGGTGTTTCCGCCGAAGTTTGGAACGAGCTGGCAAAGTTCCCGGGTGCTATCGACGGATCGACATTCGACGAGTTCGTCAGTGCGGACGATGATGTCCCCATCATGGGCCAATTACAGGATGAGGATTACATTGCAGACGTCCTGCCGACCACGAGCCAATGCGACAGCAATATGGAAATCGACGACGGCCCTTTGCCTACATCCTCCGAAGTGATTAGTGCACTTGCGTTGGTCCGGCGCTATTGCTTGAATGTGGAAGGTTGCGGCCTCAGCTGCTCCGACTCGTTGGACAACATGGAGGCGTGCGTGCTGTCGCAGGCAACGAAATCGTTGACACAGGACTAAAAATCCGGGACTATTTTGTTCCACAGTAGGGCACACAAGTAAGCCACCATATTGATAAAGTACTTTTCTTCTAGTTTGTTACGTACCTTTGTGTCAAAACCTATACTGGGCCTATATCGAATTATGCCGTATATCGAACTAATACCGTAATTACTCGAATCTAACGCGCACCTTTTTCCCGGTTAAGCGAGTTCATAAATCACATGCACGTTAGAATCGAGTACGAAAAAAAATGAATACGGTCATTCTATTACCATCGGCATTTCCTAAATGGCCGCCCCCTACGTGCGTGCGTCGGCATGGCGCGTCGGCATGGCGCGTCGGCCATTTCTGCCTATGTGTTTCCCTTGTGCAGCACTTCGTACGTGTGCTTAGCAATTTGTCATCTTGTAGTGCATTAGCATCTACGGCATGAAAGGGCCGACTCCAAAAACTCGAGTGCACCACGATACCACTTTTAAAATAAAAGTCATCGTCTGTGCAGAAACGGACGGAAATCGGGCCGCATCGCGGTTGTTCAGAGTTTCCGAAACGTGTGTGCAGGACTGGCGAAAACAAAAGCAGAAGATTGTCGACAGCAAAGCTTCACGCAAAGGCTTCAGTGGACCACAGCAGGGTCGGTTTCCGCAAATTGAAGAACTGCGCAGCGAGTATGTGCTTGAGCAGCGAGCGGCACAGCAGCCCATGACGACAGAACTGCTCCAAGTGCGAGCTATGCAATTAACCTTAGAAAAAAGTCCAATGCGAAGCCAGTTTAAAGCGAGCAGGTGCTGGCTAACTAAATTTATGAAGAGGAAAGGCTTTTCCCTCCGAAGGTGAACGGGCATATGCGAAAAGTTTTGCGGAGGAGTACGATGAAAAGCTTCACAGTTTTCAGAGGTTCGTCCTAAACAACAACGGCTACCTGTTTGGGCAAATCGTGAATGCCGATCAGACGCCTCTTTACTTCGACATGCCTGGCACCACAACCGTCGAGAAGGGAGCGAAGGAAGTTCGCGTGCTGACATCGGTCCACGGTAAAACTACATTGACGGTAATGCTCTGTTACACGTCAGATGGGCACAAGCTTCCCCCGTACCTCATATTTAAATGGAAGACGCTCCCGAAAGGAGTTGTTTTTTTGAGTGGTGTGATCGTGCGGGCCAGCGAGAAAAATGGGTGCACATTGCAATTGATGTCTTACTTTTTTTTTTCGTCGTGGAAATCGGGTGCGCGTTACAATCGAGGGCACGGTAGAATCGAGTAAATACGGTAAACATTTTTTGGCGAGTTCGATATACTCGGGTTTGACTGTATTTATTCTACTGGATTCAAAGCCTTTGGTGCACTGGCATAAGTTTTTTTCCCTTGAGTTGGCAGCATCACAGAGTTACTGTTGTCAGCATCTGAACGACTCCGACGCTGTGTTGAAAGCCCTTTAAAGCTCATCATTAGCGTTGTCTCTACGACACTATGGAGCTTGGCAGGAACACAAACAATGATCGCACGACAGTTTGACACCTACACACCGACGCATACATAACATAAACGGCACTTGGACGCCGCACGCTGAGATTGTTGCTGGACAGGACCGATGCCTCACGTGGCAACTGATGATGATGCTGCTAACAAAGTGGTACTTTCATTTATGTAACTGGTGTTGCAGGCAATAGAATGTCGCAATGAAAAACTGTGGTGCCCTTCTTTATTTAGTGTCTCAGTTCCGTGGGTTTGACGATTCGTCTAAGAACAAACACTTCAAGTATTGCAATCGTTCCTGTGACTACGGTGGACTTTATTGAGGCCGTAATTTCCATGTTCGCCGCAGTGTATGAACAGCAAGTAGCTTACACTTGAGACTACGTGTGCTTCACTGTTATAGCAACATTAAATAATTTTTTATGAATGTTCTCGAGCTCAATTGATTATACTCATGAATGAAATATCAACCCATTAGTCTTGCAGAATTGTAAAATGCCCCGCTGTGTAGGACCCGCCAGCCAAAATATTTAAAAGAGAGCATCTTATACACCGAAAATACAGTACTTCGTGGCCAATGTGCACAGCTATTTAGTTTCCAGTCATTACCACGTTACCCTGTAGGTATGCATGTTTTCTATGCATAAAATGTTTCATATGCTCGAAATCAATTGCCCGATGCAAGCTGCCTAAATTTTTTACCACATTTACATCCCAAGGAGGGGGGAATTCATCGCAACAAGGAAAATTTAAAGCCGAAGACAATAGTGAGTCGTCAAAGCCTACATACCAAGCTACGCTGAGCTTCCTCCAACTGCTTGCTTTTTTCTGCCAGTGTTTGCTCAAGTTCTTGGAGCCGTCTTCTTTCGTCCTCCTACAGAAACCACAAGAGAGTGATGTTACTAACCACACTGACTGCTAATATTATGCTCAGTAAAACTGCAGCCACCCATGAGAGACTTTGCTATAGACTAGAATACGAAAAGCTTACTTAAAGGCGCTTAAGTTATCATTACACTTGACGCAATTCAATCCATCAATGTCAGCCCTGTGTAGCAATCACAGAACTTGACGCACTGAATCGAGTTTTTCACCCAGCACTGATGCTATAACAACATCTCCAAGCAAACAGTGATTAAGGAAAGCTCAAATGCAAGTCACAAAATTGTTGTGCAAGCATTTCCTTTGTGTGATAGCACTTCAACTCAGTTTTGTTTGTAATAGGTCTCCCAAACAGAGAGTGTTCCAAGAGATAGACAGGCATGTGTTGCTACACAGTCTGGCGTCACACAAATGCTGTACGGTCACACTGCTAAGCGATACGAAGTGAAGATAGGTTTAAAACGACTAAGATAAAGGCTCGCCAATTTCCAAACTTTCTTACTGACTTTTATGCTAAGCCAAGTTACGTAGTAACGTTACATCGCTCCCAGTGGAGTCTTAAGCTTACAAAAGCATAACCCTACAACTCACCCAAGGACTACCGCCCGAGGAAAAAGCAGCCCAGGTAATTCGCCTCGGCTCTCGGTCTCCGCAAGCACATCGCCGTATGCACCACAAGGCTTTACGAAGCCTCATGGAGCAAGACAAGAGAACTGCACTGTTGACCACAGCTTCCTTCGACCATCTGCTGCCCCATGGGGCTTAACACCAGTGAACAAAAGAAATCCCCCTCCTCCCCATACTTTCCATTACCTCTCCCAACAAGTCTAACCCACCCATCGAGTAGTGAAATGTACGCATTCATTCTCTTGCCTGTGGTTGTGAGTCATCTTCCCTGCATGACAAACTGATTCCAGACACTCACGCTTGGTTTCCCGGAGAGACGGCTGTGCCTAGAAAGGGCTTGGAAGAGGGCACTTGGCGTGCGAGGGGGGAAACAAGTCTCGGATTAAACAAAACACTCCATCTAACTCCTTGTGCAATGGCATCCCCAAATGCTGGACCATGTGCACTTTTTTTTCTTGTGCCTACATTACTTCAGAGGTGCACCGTTTACGCTGTGCACTTCTGAGCAAGCGACAGTTCCGTACTGCGATATTACGAGAGCAGAGCATGCAATTTTCTGCATACAAAAGGCATTTCAAAGACATATGTACTTACATATATCTCCTTTTCTTTTGTAACAACTTGTCCCAGTACTCCCATGTCTACCATATGTGCGCCGATTCACGGTTTTACAGCCTCTGCATTTTGCCAGAAAAGCCTGCACGCACTATTTTTCAAAGAACTCGAAACCAATTGCTACTTAAAACTTTCTAAATTGCAGTACAAGATAGCTTCACACATCGCTTTGAATATAAGAGCACGATGCCCAGCCAGTTGTGCTTCTTGTGCAAGACAAAAATGTGATCAGGATTATACACCTGCACATTTCTGTCTCAATTGCATTAAATATGTAGCCCTCTCACAATATTCTTTAAGTATTTTGGCCGCTTTTTTAAGCAACCTATTAGTGGTGCTCAGAGAGACCACTATACCGTAACAGAATTCACTTTTCAATGCCTGTCCAACTATAACCCTGATGTGGTATCCTAACCTTCCCATTGTTATCAGTTTCTTGCAGCAGTGATAGCAGCAACAGAGGCTGTAAAATCATTAAGATCACAAGGTCACACAAAAATTTTCACATGATTAAATTTTAGGGACTGTAGCAGTCTGCGAAAAAATGTAATGGCATCAGAAAGGTGTTTTCATTGAAGCCAAGTTCAGCTAGTGATAAAATTTCTTGACTACGATTCGCTCGCTTCCACATCTTGCACAAATCAGCGAATTGCAATTAGGAACCTTAATCCAGATTTTCCTCATTCACGAATCAAAATGCCCTGTTAGGCACTCTCTTCATATTTTGACGCAGCTATGTGGACTGTATTCTGTAGTGTATTTAAATGAAAAGAATAAAATTGCACCAAAAATTGAACTTATAAATCGCATTCATCAATGTCAAAGAAATTTAGCCAAGTTGCTATGCATAAAATTGTTCATCAAGATACTCATAATACAAAAATGTTCACAATGGGATGGATGCTACACACATCTACTGCTAATGATTAAAAACCCTAAACTGCAAATTCAGTGAAGACAGAATTAAATTCAAAGTTTTAATTGAATCATAGTATTTTATCTGTACAGGAATTATTGGCCCCTTTCTCAGCATAGTACAATTCCACTAGTGCATTTCCCATTATATCCTCCAAGCTTTTACTTTACAAATAGAGTCTCACAGGTTCCATTGCCTCTTATGCACTGTATTCCAATTGGTAGTTGGCTGTCGTTTCATGCCATTCCCAAACATATGCTGCGATTTTCAGGAAGTGGAATGAGATTTGCACTCTCACTACTTCATTAGTCAAAAAAAAATAGGAAAGGCATACAAACACCATCTACGACAAGGATAACTTCTAACGGATGCCATTAATCCAAGGTTTACTAAAGCTCAATGAAAAGCTTGAATAAACAAGCTGTTAGGCACGTTATGCAGACACACTCCGAACTCTAGAGGAATACGCTACAATGCTCTCGAGTGTGGCGCCTTTGGAGCTTAGCTTAACAGCGATTTTCGCCGAATGCTATCATGAGCACGAAATCGTTACATGAAGAATGTTACATTGCTTCCCTGGTAGGAACAAGTGGGGAAGCAGAATGCACTGCATTAGAGGCGAAAGTGCGAAACAAGTCATTCTTCCAGAAACCGTAGCAGGGCAGAGCTCTCACGCATGCCCCGGTGCATCATGTAAGGGTCGAAGCGCTTAGAGCACGCTCCGCAAACAAACACCAGAGTTCACTTTTTAATGGTTAAGTTTACAAAAGCGCACTCGATTAGCTAGAGCACACTCAAACTCCTTGACTTAACATGCTCACTGTCAAGCCAGGACAACGCTGTCTATCCATGCGTCTCCCAGAGCATAAATTTTTCTCAGCTGGTTTGTTCCCTTTCTTGAACCCCCGAGAAATGCATCAGTAGAGTTCTACTGCACATCGACATGGCAAACTACCAAAGAAGAAAATTTTATGGCAGTGAAGAATGAGCTTCACTTTCATGTCATGTTCAATGACGGGCCACCTTTGATGCCGTGTTTGAAATGTCTCCAAGATTTCCTTAAAAATGCATATTCTTAACTAGAAGCTAATATCAACAAGAATGATATAAAACTTAAAAATGGTTAAAAGACAGTGCTTTACATATATTATTTATATACATTGCAGGATAAAATAGTCTAGCTACTTCACATGATGGGCACATATAGATTAACAAGTCTGTGTATAAACACAGAAGTCATAAGCATGATTGTCCACTAAAGAGAGTTAAGCAGTGATGGGATACTATGTAGATGGAAAGCAAATGCATGCCGGTTGAATATATAAGAACCAAGTGTGCATGTTGGTAATAAATGAATATAACTCGTCCAAGAGAAAAAGCTGCTGACACAAATGTATTGCTGTTCATGCCTGTTGAACGGATTGCACTTAATGAGTTTGTGCTCTCAAAAGCTGCCAACAGCAATAGCTCTATTTACCGCTCTCGAGCTTCAACATGAACCTGCTGAAGCTCGAACAGTGCCAAACTAGCAGAAAGAATGCGTCTTTAGTTCCTCACATAAGCAGATTTTAACCTATTTGCACTCCAGATAATTCAAGAAAAATTGCCACCAAGGTGCCTCAAATCAAGTTTTTAAAGCAACGCAACACAAGGTGTTATTGAAGTAACTTCTCCCAAACAAGAACAGGCAAAGTTCCTCTTGGCGTTGCATAAGTCAGTTGCCAGACTTTACAGTGGTTGTTGCCAGACTGCTGCTAAATTTGGCTGAAAAATTTTTTCCTGTAGTTGTGGCTTCTCCGTAAGAGTTTGGTGCCATCCGCGGTGCATTTCGTGAGTGCATGAGCGACACTGGCCGTTTTAATTAACAGAATGAACCGCGCATTACAGAATTCACCTTAATTAACGGAATGAACCGAGCCTAGCAGAAGTCGAGCGTGGCGCTGCCGTGCAATTGGTACCCCGATTAACCAGCCTTGGAACGCTTATTCATCATATTTATATACGAGTCCGAACGATATGTCTTGTGCTGACACAGCTAGGGGAAGCGTAGCGTCCCCCGTCGTAGCGCGCGGTCGACGCGACACGACCAGCTGAGAGAAAAAAAAGAAAAATAAGGGGGGGAGCGGGGCAGTGCATCGCCTTCTGCGACTCTATTCAGTTTTCCCTGTCATCCCCAATACTGAGACGCGATATCTTATTCGCACAGCTGCGCACACAGCAAGAAAACGCACCTCGACTTCTAAGCGCGGTTCATTCCGTTAATTAAATTGGCCTCTTAATTGCGCAGCAGTGCCGGCGCTCTCGACTTCTGGTAGACGCGGTTCATTCCATTAATTAAAACGGCCAGCGTCGCTGGTTCGCGAAATGCACTGTGGATGGCACCAAATTCTCATGGAGAAGCCACAACTGCAGAAAAAAAATTTTGCAGTCAAATTTAGCAGCAGTCTGGCAACACTAACCCTCCCAGTCTGGCAACCACTTATGCAACGCCAAAAGGAACCTTGCCCAAGAACAGAGGTAGTGTGCATGCTATCTACAAAGAAGCCTACATTCAAATCTACGTGAGAAAAATTAGCTCAACAGTTCACCACCAAAAAACAGTACTATTTGTAGAACGCATCTTGCGGAGGCACATATCCCAGATAAGCTAGCAGCACCCTTTTGAAACCTTGCTGTACCACATTTTCCAAAGTAAGAACAGAAAGTGTAGCCAGGCATGCAATGGGCAAGAAAATGCACCAGACTCATTGCAGTGGAGTTTGCAATGCACTGCCCTGCTGCTGCTGCTTCCAGTATAACAACCAGTGCAAGTGACCGACAATACTATATGATAGCTAAGAAGAATAAGCAGCTGTGACATAATACTCAGCTGCAACAGGTTTGTAGTACCTGGAATGCGAGAAAGCAAGCTTTTGAGATTAGTTTTTATTAGTTTCCGAGAGACCTGGCTATGGTGCTGGGATGTGCAACATGGACTTCATCTTCGAGAGTTCGAAAAAGCCAATATATATATAGTTCAATATAGATAAAAAAGGGAATGAAAAGAAAAATGAAGACTGGTATTGATAACGAGAAAAAGCTAATGGGAAGCAGCAGGAATGGCAGCATTGGTAGCACGCAAAAACAAATACAAGGGCACCGAAGAAGGCTGTAATTCTCAAAAAGAACAGATGATAAAAAAAAAACACAGCTAGAAATTGAGTTTGTCAGAATGGCTACGAACACAGTGCATCAAAATCGATAAACTAACTGCCCATAAGCAACAGCAGCAGAGTCATAGGGCAAGGAGGTAGTGCACGAAAAAGACAAGGGTTTGGGGGCCGTCGGTGGCCTACCTCCCGCTTCTGCTGGTCGGCAATCATCTGAGCTCGCCGTTGTTCCACCTCTTGGAGAAGCTGCTTCTCCATGTTGTGCCGAGCCTCTTCAACACGCCGTCGCACCTCCGTCTCCATGGCCTCTCGGCGTCGCTCCATCTCTTCGGCCACGCGGGTGGCCACTGTCTCTTCAATCTGACGCTGCATTTCTTCCTCGGACCTCTTGCAAATGTCCTCATCACGCTGCCGCCTGCACAGAGGATCTCACAATGACTAATCGCTTACAATACTCTAGAGAAAGATACATTATTCATTCTTCGACATCTTAAAAACCTAACAAATCAAAACTTTAGACTACTTTTAAAACTAAGGTAATGATTACAAAAGCAGTGCTCAGGCACGGGCGCATACCCGGCTAGAGGAAAAAGAGAAGGAGGTCAGATAAAAAACACTGACCCAGCGAATTAGCGTTGTCTCCGAGTCTCATCCTTTACAATGGCACAGTTGACAACTGAACCTTGTGGCTGAAGCCACATGTACCTCGCGGGTTGTCGGCAGCACGGGTCTCTCCATCCAGGAACGCCGTCCACGCTTCTTGAGTAATGGAGTTCACGACCCGACCACTCCTGCAGCTACCCAACGAATCATCGGTGAATCGCGTCAATGCCTCCTCGATGGTTCCAGGGTACGACTTGATAGACGGCAGGCTACCGCTTTTATCTCAGTATGCGCATGGACTGCTATCATCTGAGAACGTCGTGCACGTTTTCCGTGGCCTGTATCCCAAGCCCAGTCCTCTTACAACGGGTGAATAACCAAGGGACGCTGTTAAGGCTTCCTTGGGCGTGCTTGTTGCCCCCGTGAATACTACTAGCACTGAATACTCAGTGGACGCAAACCAGAGTGGTTCCGAGGTCTCGTGCGACAGTGCCATGGAGCTGCGGTGTACCATCGCAGCGTCTCCACGTCACGGTCAACGCTGTTACAGCGGCGAGCTCCACGCTGTTTCCTGCCATCTTACCAGTTCTGAGTGCAAGCGAACGCATGTTGAATGCAGTCGCCTCACAAGACCTTGAGGCCTGCTCATCTGAGCGACACAGGGAGTTTAGATGGGCCCTCCTGCCGCTCTCAAACCACATCGGTTGCTTTGACTCGGTAATCTCTGCATTTTTACGTGCCGACCCACCATCCCCGGCCATCAGCGAACCACCGAAATTTAACGGGTTCCAGGACGACGCCCTCGATTGGGTGGCTACCATCAACGCTCTTGGAGCTCGCAAGGGATGGAACGAAAATCAGTAGTGGTGCATAGCCATAGACCGCCTTCAAAATCCTGCCATGGCGTGGCACAGGTACAAAGGTGTGCGGCAGCAATCGTGGGCAGAATGGAGCTACAAGCTGACTGCTGCTTTTGGCCGGACTCCCTCCCACCTCTTTGCCAGCACCGAGACCAACCTGACCGGTACAGAGGATGGAGTTCAAGAAGGGTTTCATCTCGAGGCTCCAGCTGAGCGCTTCAGTTCTCCACATGAGCTTCCTTAGTTCTCCACATGAGCTTCCAGACTCATCACTGGTACCAGATCCAAATTCATGTCAGCCACCGGCCACCCCGTCCTCTCTCGTGGGGTGAGATACAGAGGGGCACAGGATAGCTGGACCCTTTGCCAACATGCCCACTACCATATATTGAGCTCAAGTGGGGCGCCAGCTCGATGTCTCATCGCAGTCCTCCAGGCCGCCAACAGGCAACAAGACCACCCTTGAGCCTCAGCTATTGGTATTGCGGCCTTCAAACCCGACACCTCCTGGGCACGTGGAGTCGTCCACCCCTGTCCTGCCGGATGGGTCACGACATGACACACCCTGCCAGTCTACGATACCAAAAGTTCCCAGTGATACCAGCGAAGAGAGCAGACTCTGTGATCAGCCGGTGGGGGATTTGCCTACTACACGGCAGTCATTGGCCGAGTGTGCGAGTGCTTCACTCAATCAATCCATGTCTGCCGAAGACAGATTAATGGACTATATGCCTGTTTTATCCATATCTGCCCACCACGCCTTGGCCGACGGTAGCAATGTGCCGCAAGCAAGTGAAGTCAACATCAGCACTTCCGGCCTCCCGGCGTACAGCCCTACTTGGGATCATGGGCAATGCAACACGACTTCAAGACCATCTGAAGGCCGGGCGATCACCAGGAGGCAGTCTGCGTCAAGGAGGAATTAGACATGGATCGGCCAGATGGTGACCAGCTCGCACAGAGCAGCGAGGTGACGCCTACGTACGCCTTTGGTGTCTGCAGCGTGATGTGCAGCTATGGTGGCGTTAACCCCTATGGACGCCGTGGAACACAACCAAGGAACATCCCGTTTCCTCACAGCCGCAGAACAAGAGGCAGAGATGGCACCACAGAGGCTTCTGCGTCAAAGCATAATGTCCGGGCGCACGCGGCCTGTCCATAACGCTGACGGCAATAAAGACCAGTGCCCCAATCGGTGCCTACTGAAGTGCCTGCCAAGTGTGCTACGACCGCTACGGGATAGCCATGATCGCCCACCAGAGAGTTTGACGCCCCGCAAGGCGAGCCATAATTGATTGATATGTGGGGTTTAACGTGCCAAAACCACTATATGATTATGAAAGACGCAGTAGTGGAGGGCTCCGAAAATTTCGACCACCTGGGGTTCTTTAATGTGCACCCAAATGTGCACAGACACAGCCAATAATGTGCACAGACACAGCCAATACCGCCCACCAGAAACGGTATTGGCAACTCAGGGCTCAGGACCAGCGGGCCGACGACGACCATTGTGAAACAGGCAATGGCGTCCACCAGAACCATCGTCGCCCGACTTTCAGAGCAAGACGCAACGACCAGAACGACAAAGTCAATGGCATCCACCAAAGCCATCATCGCCTTAGTCTAACACAGGACGCAGCGTGGCCATGACCGGCCTCTGCGAGGCAGCCAATGCCGCCCACCAGAGGCATTAGTTCTACCTATGGTGGTTCATGGCCTAGGTCCTATGAATGTTCCCACCTTCAAAGACAGGACCTGTGTCATCGAAGGGCAAGCTTGGCAAGACTGCATGCACGCAGCGTGGCCGAGTGTAATGATGACGAAAGCGGTGCTCAGGCACGGGCGCATACCTTGCTAGAGGAGAAAGAGAACGAGGTCAGATAAGGAACACCAAACCAGCGAACTGGCGTCTCAAGAGTCTCATCCTTTAGGCTAGTTTCAGATAGCGTACATAAAAAAGAACTCCCCAGAATGATTTGAAATTTAAGTACCAGTGAAAACATTGCAGAAAGCTTGCAAGAACAGCAGTTCTTCATCACGGGAAAAAATTACCGCAATTAGCACAAGGAGTGACATGTAAGGGCATGACCTACAACTGCTCAGCTCCTTAGCATAGCCTCTGAGATAAGGGGGCTGCGACTCACCTTCAGGGACGTATGTATGCATGGACGTATGTCGCAGCGACAGCCACTACATCCCTGCATCACCTACTTAGGTGCCATCCGAAATATGCCAACTACAAAACTACACCCATGCCAGCCCAGAAAACTTGCTTTGTCATTCATTACCACCAGCTTAACACAAAAATGGCTCCATTATCCATTAAGTCATGTCATTTACACTAATAAACCTGCATATTTGCATAATAATTGCATATTTTAAGAACACATCAAAGAGAAGCATTAGACAAACTATTATATCTCGATTGCAAAACAAAGTTTAATGAACACTGAAGCGTTTGTTGGCCTAACAACATTTCAATGCTATTGAGGGGCGAACAGATACATAAGTAAAAGAAAAACATACACATGTGCACTAAATATTCAACCTAAAAACACGAGCAAGACCAAGCAATGTGGTGAAGTTAATTAGTGAAAAGCTATGACAGCAGCAATTCACAAATGTTTTCCCTATTCTACTCAGGCAGCAAAAGTAAGCACCTTGCTGAGCAATATTAATGAAATACCGTGAAAACCGAAACATAGGTCAGACTAGAATATAAATAACTTGCACGTGACGTCACAGACAGGTTCTCTGTGCTGGGTACCTAAAGATGGAGCCGCCATGACTTTGCATTGCATTTGACAGTGCCAGTGCAAGGGACGACAAAGAGTCGTTCACCCCTCGCATTCTTTTGTGCTTTGCCCGATTTTTCTGTTCGTCAGTCGCGCCAAGGAGAACACAAAGAATTGGAAGATGCACCGGCACTAATCAGATGTCACCGTTTCTCACTCCGCACGGTCGAGCAAGAGTTCACGCAGCTTCTCAACAAACTGGTACCTGAAGATGGCAACCACAGCGATGTCAATGCAAGTTGTGTATAGGTCGACCCCCAACTTTGAATCTCCGAAAAATAATTTTTTTAATTGCAAATAACGCGGCGCACCTTTACCTTGGTAAATACGTGACACAACCAGCTGCGCTGTCGTGACATTTCCTTTTATTTGGACACTGACTTTATCTAGTTATATGCCAGAAGGCTACAAAGTGCAGTCACTCAAATCCGTCCGAATTTCAGTCCGATGGAGTCTGTTTTTCACTAGTAACGTTTTAGAGTGCATCGTCCTCCCTTCCATCCAATGCGTTACTGATGCAGCATTTTCGGAAACATGAAAGTACGCCGCCTAAGCGCAAAGCCTTTCCGCTTCACAAATCGGCGCACCCACGATGGGGATCCCTTGTATTGCACCCTCGTGAGCCCAGCGTCATGCGCTATCTCGAGAGCTTTCATGCAGATGCACACCGCTGATACAAGTAGGAATCTTGCAAGCAGCTTCTGGACGAATTAAATGAGTAGCGTTTCAAGTTCGGGGTTCACTGCAGTCTGTCCACGAAACAATTTTTTTTTTTTGTTGTTGTTGCTGCAGGTTGTGATGCCGTGCTTTTGGCTGTTCCAGTGCACGCTTTTCTCCAATGCACCGAATTCCCATTGACCCGCCAGGTTGCCGTGTGCTCTGGCATACTACATAACTTGCTCTGGCATACTCAATAACATTCCCCTTAAGGACTATCATAAACTGCCGTCGACTACCCCTCATTCCAAACAGCAGACTGACAGCAGATAACCGAGGCAAAATGGTGTAGCTAGAAGACTGTAGGCCTAGCTGCCATGGCCTTGCCTAGCCTTGCCCGACAGGGCAGCTGCTGATGCTCACGATGGAACGGAGGCTTTCAACTTGCCCATTGGTGCGAGACTTCCACATTTCTTTCTGCCAATGAACGGTATATAAGA